ATCAATGTAGATTTAATGTACGTCTGTAAATGAAACAATGTACCATGTACATTACAACGAACGAATGAGCTTGTACATTAAATTTAATGTTTAAATTAAAATTCGCACAGAATTGATTTATAATTTTGGAAAACATGGAACACACTTTTAAGTTAAATATATTTTCCATTGTTTGAACAAACTTATAACAAATTTAAAATATTATCTGAACTTGTATACCAAAATGTTTTTTTTTACATTCGAATTTACATTCAAATTGATTACAAACAGTTAATTACATTCTAGCGGTCAACATAGCACGAGAATTATGTAGTTTACAATTCTTTCAAATTCAGGGGAAATATCGTGTTATAACTTACAACACGACGCCGTTGATTCAAATTACGTTCCACACACGTATTTATTTTCTACAGTTAACGTTAACAAGTCACAACCCTGGCAGAAAACCGTTGGCGTCGCCTTGCAGCTCCCTAAATAATGTTGCAATTTCATATACCACCATTGCTGCCATTAACGGTGGGAAAATGCAAGATAAATTCACGATTTTATTTGCACTTTTATTTTTTATAGACTAGATTCATATTATATAACAGAAGAACGTGTTGTAATAAAAAAATTAAAAACCATTGGCCATTTCGTGTAATTGTTTGAGTTTCATATTTTTTTGGGAGCACAAAGCGGCTTAGGGAAATCCGAACCCTTTCCAAGAACAGTACCTTGAAGGCATTCGCACACACAAAGGGTGACTGCAGCTTGCCTATTTCTGGAAATAGAAAGGCTGGTTGTCCTGCATGAACACAGGTATTCTGCGTTCCCGCGCGATCCAGTCAGATTCTAAAACTCTAAGTTGAATGCTTTTACATGTTAGAGTAATAGCAGACTTGTTCACATTCTAAAACTTGTACAAAATCAAAGGAACGTCATAACGTTCTGATATGAAAGCGTGTGAAACTGTTGAATGTTATTCTTCACTTCCTGCTATCACAGCAGTTTCCTACAGCGGTTGGCGGTTAACATTGAGAGAAGCTGAAGCAATTCAGACAATTCACAGGCTTTGTGAAGTTTAAGTCCAATTAATATTATTTAATATTTTAATGAAATGTGAAACTCGTTAATCTCCATCTATAGATGGGTGTGCTGGAGATTTCAAACTAACTCTGACTAAATATAATAAATTAAATCAAAGAACTGAAGATCAGAAAATTAGTGTTACGAACTAACAAAGTTATGAGTTATTCTGGAAAAAAATCCAGTAATTTGTAAAGACGTTATTGAGGGTGTGATATTTGCCAGCTATTACGTTAATGGATCTGCCGATTCTGCACCGTTGTCTTTAACATTCGATTCTTTCAAATCTCTCGTACCTAAATGAATTCTAAGACAGCACTAATTGTGTAAATGTGTTCCAACATTGAATAAGGGATAACGTCTACATTTGTAATATACAAATTAACGTGTTTGAACAAAGTTTTCCATTATTTTTTTAGAAGATTAAGCTATATCAACGCAATTAATTCTTTAAAAAAGTGTTGGTTCCTATCTCCTGTAGCACATTAGAAATTATTTCCTACGCACGAGCGAAAATGTACGTGAATATCGAATGGGAAGAAAAATAATTTGGAATTCAACCTTCTCACAATTCAATCTATTTCAAGATTCATTAATTTCAGCATTTTTTTCTTTTCTGTTTACCCTAGGTGTTGGCAATCGTTGCATGTTCATCTCCATTCCAATCCATGCTCATCATTGCTGTATTACTTAACGTTCATGTTTCCCAATGTCAAAGGCAGTTTTTTTGGACTTTTACGCGCAATAAAATATGTCGATTCCCGAAATTTAACTTTTATTGTGCGTTGGAAATTGTGAAAAGATTTGGCACACGCATGTATCAGTAGAACCATACTGTATATATCAGAGCCCCAGACATTGTTTCTACGCATTTCGCCAAAACGCTGACTGAATACTTCGCCACACCCATCACAAAGTATGGGAAAACCAAGAAATGGAGAAACCTCCAGAAAGGTGCCCTTGCAGGGAAGGGAGCGATGTCCGCCCCTCCTAGCGCGCGGCGGCGGCGGCGGCGGCGGCGGCGGCGCTGTCTGCGGGCTGGAGCACCCGGTGGCGCACGCTGCCGCACGCGCGAAGCAGCCAGAAGAGATGGGGCAAAGGCGGGAGGCGTGGAGGGCGGCGCGGGAGATGCCGTAGGGGTGGCGTACGAGAGTGGAAAGCGTGCCGAAACGAGAGACGCGGAGAAACGGAGGCAGCGGGGGCTGCCGTTTACAGCCTCCGGTGTCGGCGTCGGCCCCACGCCACGGCGGCAGCCGCGGGCGCGCGACTTAACCTGGCCGTTATGTCGTGATGAAGTCCGAGCGCCCGCCCTCGTAAAGCGGCGGGTTTATGTTGGCGGCGGCGGCGCGGCGCCGCGCCGCGCCGCGCCAGCCAGCCAGCACCGTTCGCCCCGCGGCGGACGCGAGATTTACAGTGCGCCGCCGCCCAGCGAACCGGCTTCAAAATAACCTTCCTTCAGATTTGCAAACGATCCCTACAACCTACTGGATACTACACACTTCGCTCTTTTCGAAGCCTAGTGTTTCGAGGTGAGCGATACATTCATTCTGTGGCAAACAATTTGATTTTTCCTAAATTACAGCAGCTTACACTAGACAATACGTGTGAACTTATAGCCGAGAAACTAAAATGTATGTAGTTTACATCAATTTCTACCCTAAGTAACCCGTTAATCTGTAGTACGACGTTTTAATCTGCGAATTCATAGGCACACGCAACGGACCACAAGAAACGAAATGCACCTGACTGCAGCAGGGCAGCGGGGAAAGAGAACAAGGCGGACATTGGGCGCGATGGGACGAACACTGGTATACATCCAAACACGCGAATTCGCATTGCCTTCAATACAAGTCGCAGTGTCAGCGTCATCAAGAATCAACTCTAACTACTAGGAATTAAAAACAGATGCCAAGTACTAGGATTATAGCGGTAAAAGCATTTATATCGGTATTGAAATACCTTTATTCTTTATGCTTTTCGCGATACCGATGTCATGAACTTTCTATACCCGAAAACGGACTAGCCAGACAACTTATTTTTTTTATATATTTTTATTACAAACGTGCCTGGTCATAAACTATAGAAGTAAGAAAATGTTTTGTAAGAAAAAGTAAATATGTCCGCTTCTTGAACCAAGTTGTACGGCGTTATAAGTTCCCTAGCCACGTTTTTCTTCACGTAATAACTTAACCCGCAACCTTTAACAGAATTAAAGTGAACTCTAATCAAACTTCTGGCTCCACATACATACCCTTGCTAAAAAAAATAAGTTTCTGTAATTGATGACTTCTAAACAGTTACGTGGAATTTTTGTTCTGACGATCCTGTGATTCAGTATGTATTGTATTGTATTGTATTGTACAAATTCTACTTCTTCCGAAGTTCGCACCTTGCCAGCATATCATTTTCTGGTCATTACAATATATTTATTGATCGCTCGTCTTGCTTTTTTCCAGCTCTCCTTTCCAAAGACGTAAGTCTTGAACTCACAATACTGACTGTTCAACCTCGCAATTTACATTAAAGAAAAATTATGAGGGGAAATCTTTAGTTTTAGATATTGGATGTAAGATTGGCGAAAGAAAGTTGTCAACGACGATAATTATTTTTTTTACGTCAAATACCATTTTGTTGAGGATGAATAAACATTTACAGTTGAATTTCGTTAGTGTTTAACATGTAAGAAAAATATGCTTCGAAGACCTGTCCAAATAGTTCTACCCGCGTAATATTAACTTGGATTGTCTAAAGTCAAACTTGACTAAATTGAAATTAGTATTGTGATAAGAGGTATTAAAACATTCGTGATCTAATAATGCATGGGCTTTTGTTATCTACTGTTAAATATATCTTTTCATCTCAGGAGACGTGACGGTCACATAAGTGAAAATTATAATGGATCTTAACACTTTTTGTTGTGGATAAACGTTGTATGATCCTAACAGCCTCGTTTAATAATTCCATCCCATATTGTAATATGATTTTTAATAAGTTTCGTTCAGATTCAAATAAATTTTCAGATTCAATTCACAATTGACCTATGAATTGAGACAGCCTGAGAGAGAGTACAGCTCAGCACGTCTATCCAAATGGAAGTGTTGGGGAGCGCGTATTCCGCCCGGAGCAAGGAAACGAACGGAATAATCAAAAAGTAACGAAACTTCAATTATTTTAGAAACGGCCTCACTTGCAGAACATTAGTATATTTCCTAATTTTGGTTTACGGGTATCTTTGAATTATGGAGAACAGTCAACAGGGCTCGACTTTTCTCCAAGATCACATGCGCAGAATATACATTTAAATTTATTGTCTTTGTTTTTCAATGTGCGGAGTCACGCATAACAAAAATTGACCGTAGTAGACGAAAATATTTTTACCAATTTTCGCAAAAGACATTTCTTCGTAGTCAAGTTACATTTGCAGGTCTTCCGCAACGTATTATTTTCAATTTTCGCCCACGCACACACATGCAGGAGGAACCCCTCCGCAATGCACATCTCTCTCAAATACACTACCTTCACTTCATTCCGCTAGCTATCAGTCGATAAATAAGAGCCGTCCGGCGAGGAGAGAACCCCATAAAATCAACGGGCGGAGGGCGCGGCCCGGGGCATCGCTACCTCGAGCACGCAAGGGCGGCGGCGGCGGCGGGCGTGCGAGGCGCCCTTATCGGAGATCATCTGCTGAATTTGGACCGCGCGATAATAAATGATTCACACGATCAATTTTGGCGAAATATTTTATGATCCACTACGCGTAAATTTGTCTCTCGCCTTTCCCCGAAACCGGTCAATATTTAAAAGGCGGCTAAAATTTTCACTCCCCAACAGCATACAAAATACATAACGCTTTCAAACCGACATAAAATTTCGGGCGGGCGGCTGCCGCGGTTGCAAGGACAGGAGCCGCAGCAGGGGCGAGAGAAACTTACCTTGACTTGCATCGCGAAAGAGAGGCAGAGAGGTAGATGAGAAAACACCGACAGAAGAAGTGAAGACAACCGTCCACACTTACCTGCGAACAAAAGAGAGGAAAGGCGTCAAGTACAGATAATCACCAGGCAAATGCTCTCTCCGAAGGCGCCGGCGGGCGGGTCTCGGCCCTCGAAAGCAGTTTCTTGGGCGCGCAATTCGTTTCATGATCATGACGAAGCAGGCCTGTTAGCACGACACATCAGAAGACCAGCCGGCGTCGCCGAGGCGAGGGGGTCCTTTGTGCGAGGCCTTGCTCCGACGCACGGGCTCCCGCCTGGCACTCGGTCGCACACAGGGAACAACGGGTCGTGGACGGGGACGGGAAGGGCGGCGCAGTGCGGGGCGGGTGATGCATTTGCGATACCGGGCTCGCGATCTGGTAATGTCAATTTGCAGCTTGTGTTCAACGCGCTGATCTTCCCCTTGGAGAGCGAGATCCTGTGCGGACCTACACGTCAGCGGGCACGGTTTTTCTTGTACAGGTATCCCCTCCCAAGCGGCGCACCCTCGCAGCCGGGCTCGAAGCCTCCGAGCGGCCTACTGACATGAGTGGTAGTATCACTTACGGGTGAGGATGGGACAAGTTATAAGGAATAATCGCGTGCGGTCCACGGAGGATTTGTTAGGGTATTACTCGCGAAGAGCGGCCGACCGCTTGAAGTATCGTCCAGACAGCAATCGAACTCCACCCATCGACGCGCAGCCTGGCACCGTCGGGACTCCGACGACAGACACTCGCGGCCAGAGGCACTGCAAGGCAAGGCAAGGCAAGGCAGGCGGCGGCCGGGGCGCGGAATCGCGTGCGACGCCAGAACTCCACGTGGCGCCCAGCGCTCGATTCTCACAGGCGGCGCAACTCACTCAGGAAATGAGGAGGAATTGTGTCAATCGCCACTTCAGCCAACTGCTGCCTCGAAAAGGCACTGTGTCGCAGCACGACCACCCTCCAAACGAGCGTGCGATGGAAATGGGGAGGAAATGAGCGCTTTGCAATAGAGTATCCACTGGTGATAAACTACACTTTTGCAGTAGCAATGTAATATTTTCCAATTGATGCGGCAATTCTAAATTCATCTGATACACTGATGACATATCAATTTTTTTAAATTCTTTCAGATGTGACAACTAATTTTGTACGATTCATTTCCGAAACTTTCCCGCACAGAGATACCAAGGGCAATTTATTCAAACTTTTATAATAAAGAGTTTACGGTATAGAAATCTTGCTCCCAATGCCTCCAACATACACGTTTGGTATAATTCTTTTCGTTTCAAAGGTAGTTTGAAAGTTTCAATCATGAAAAATAATTGACCTAACCAAACTTTTTCTCAGCTGTGGACCTGCGCTTCATTTTACAAATAGACTTCATGTGGTTACACAACTTAACTGACAAATTTATGAACGCTGCAACTGGGTATTCATTTTTAACTGTCTACAAAACTTTCGTTTATGCAGCGCGGCACTGTCACGTTTCCTAGCCGCCTTTCTCCACGAACGCATGCCAATCTCGCTCTTCGATCCGAAGGCAGCGCGGCGCCTCCCGAGCACTTTGCGCGCGGGGCCGCAGTCGCGCTGCTTCCTCGACCACCTACCGCGGGGGCGTTTTCAAAAGAGCAAATGGGTCCGCGTCCTCTCATTACGCGGACAGACCCGCCCAATTTAATCTCGCAACGCACGGCCACGGGCCACCAGCTTCGTCAAGGCTGTGCCCTTTGACCACAGGCCAGCTGCCTTACGCAACGTGCGGATGTGTTGCCGTTCGAATGTGACCACGATTCGACAAATGCTGCGTCGGGAACGTTAAATATTTAGTTTACTAAAATACCTTTACAGAAAGCGATGAAAAACAGCGTTTTGAACACAGAAAAATAACGTCATTTGTCATTTTGCTGCAAAAGGATTAATAGAAGTTACCAAGTTGCTGGAGTAAAAACAAGCAATATTTTTAATCCTGCAAACCTAGCGCCTAATTTCAGAAATGAAATGCTCGCAATGGATCCCTGAGACCCAGGGACTTTATTACGAATCCTCATACAACACTGCAAATACTCTATTTAAATATTATTTAAATATTTTATATATATATATATATATATATATATATATATAAAATTTGTCCAGTAATAGATTTATTATAAATAAAACAGAGCAAATGTGCATAAATTGAAGATTACACTGCAGACGTTAAGTGAATAGAATTTCTAGCGAAGTTTAGTCTGATACATATCAATGCATAACTATTTAACAGAACAACTTTCAACTGGAACATTATTTGTAAACTTATTATAAAGAAAATATAATAATATTTATTATGGAGTTTCATTACTCCTTGGAAACGACCGGTGTGTACTCCCAGAATAAAACCTTGAGCAAAAATACTTGCACTTGGGAGGAAAAATACTGAGCTTTTGAGCCTTTTCCTTCAACTTCTCGCGGTCTCTTTACACAATCTTTACTTCAAATCAAATAAAATAATAAGATAAGATTTATAGTTATTATATTCTGTGATTGCCGTGACATTCACTATCTGAAGGATTGGAATAGCCTGCTCCCGCACCAAACTGCGAAAGCGCACTGCGGAACAGAGCCGGTGCGCGAGCGGCAGCGCGGGCCAAGAATAGCACCAGGCGCCGAAGGCCAGCGGGAACGCCCCCGCGCCCGCCCCCGCGGCATGCAAAGCGATGCGCAATGGCGCGGGACACAAAGGAACGCGTTTCCACACTTCCAACGGACAAAACTGTCATGAACGAAAGTTCTCCATGAAAACGAATGGCCCCTTCATTTTATCTGAACTCTTACGGTTTGCGGACGATAGTATCAAAAGATCTTTGTACCCAAACAAACACCGGATAGTTTAGACAAACCTGAGAAAATAAAAGTTGTTCCTCTACGCAGAAGATGCGATGTACCCTGACAGGTAAGATCTAACATTCGGGGTGCGCAAGGCTCTTATCCGAGCGAACGACGGTGAGCGATCACAGTGGAAACAAGAAAGAACAATATGCAAGGGTCAACACAAACGGACTTTTAAGCCTCGCATTCCGTAATTCTTTGACAGGAAAAACTGCGCAAAATGTGATTCTTGAAATAAGAAAGACGTGGTACGCGGAAGGAGGGCATCTGCCGCCTGACTTGGCTGCTGCTGACCCACTGCGCGGCCGCGCACGCCGCGCTTGTGTACAGAGCTCTGACGTCACTCAAACATCCGGCTGCCCCCCCCCCCGCCCCCCTCCCGCTGGCCGCTACAACGGGCTTCCACTCGCCCTCCTCCTCCTTGCACAGTTTCTCGCTGCGCCCTTTTGCACAGGCGGACTTCGTATTTTCCCCAACCGACACCTCAGGATGCAAGGGAAGCGGGATTAGATGAAGATGAGCAACAGCTCCCAAAGATCCTTTTCTTAAGCCAAAGGAGCGGACTGAACGAAACCCACGAGATGGTCAAGCGACGACGAGCGCCGTCGACCGCACTGAATATTCAGTTTCTGCAAACTCTACACTGCATACTGCACTGTGGACTCTCATAATATGGAGTGAGCACAGTGGAAAGAGAAATGGCTCAACATCAATTTGCATCAAATGTCCAACTACATTGCAATTATTAACTTGTTATCTTAATGGAAAGTGCCTTTGGAACTTTTTTATACATCCCAGATAAAATTTCACAATTCAAAATCTTTACGATTTCCACGTAACTTTCTCATAACTAGACGATAAGAAAAAATAACTTAAGTAACGTCCTTTCGCTGCCCCTTGCACCCTACCATAGCCCAGCTATTAGCACCATACTCTCTTATCTACGGATTAGAAGACTTAATCATATTGTCAATCCGTCAATCCGTTTAAGATTACTCTTTCGTGATATTAGGAAATAACAGTGAATCATAAGAACAAATGGGCAAAATGAATTCAACGCGCGGGGCACTAGATACCTTTCAATTCCGAGCATTCACAACTTCAGAGCGCATGATTCAGACATTCATGACTAATCGTGAAGAGGAACGAAGGAGCTCGAAAGACAAAATATTTTGTCTGGGAAGGAAAATTCAGATGAACGGAGAGCAATTTGAACCATTTAATGACGCAGCCATGCTCACAACGGTGACAGGACGGCAAATGCATGACGCAGATCGACCTCTCAATCTCAACAATAGCATATCCCAGTTGTTTCCCATATATATTTCTTCTATATCTCGAGAACAAACCGAAAAGGGCTGTGAAAAACAACGTAAATACTGGATATTATCATAATGAATCGATCTACATGATGAATCTGAACACAATGAAACAGTCTACATGCTACTTCAGAGAAATGAGAAATATATCACCGTATGCTCCGAAAAAGTATATACTCAAGTTGCCTTAAGTTCGCAACTGGAAAAAACTTACTTCAATTTCCAAGATTCCATTTTATATTCTAATACACGACCCCTTGCTACAGCAGACAGCAACCCAGCTTTTTACCTCGGCATATCCATCTTGTGGATAGACTTCGAAATTCGTAAGCTCATTTCAACCGCTAGTCAACATATAAATCCGAGGGAACACCTGCCCCCCTCCCCGTGCCCCTGGCACAAGGGGAGACGAGAGAAGCCGACAGGGGCAGGGGAGGGAGCCACAGCATCTGCCTCGCGTGGACGGAATACATCAGCGCCGCCGCCTCCATCGCCAAGAGGCGTTGCAGTTGGCATGCCGCTTCGCCCCGGCCCGGCCCGGCCCGGCCCGGCCCGGCCCGGCCCGGCATCCTCCCGGGGAGATGGATCGCCACCAGAGGTGCGCTCCGAGGAGAGCGCAACATCTTACACATTCGGGGCAACAAATAAAACGTTGTCGCTTCCTCTGCTTCACATGATTAATGGTGTTAACTTCACGGCAGTTCCTTAACCACCGACCATTAGATTCCAACGCCCCAAAGTTCATACATAAACAAAACTAAGAATACTAATCCAGCTCGTGTAAATCGCGATTTCTTCAAAATAAGTCTCCTGGTTTAATCGCACATACTAACCCTCATGACCGGTTTTATTTCATTGTACAACATT